GTTCGCTATAGGTACCTTTTAAACTTTAGTTGTTGTTACTATCAATCGCTAAACAATACGACAATAGCTAAAACGGCCCTCAAATATGTGTCAGACGTGGCGATAACGACCGTACTTTTACGGCCGTTGACGCTCTGCCTACCCCGCAAGGGATAAAGGCGTGATATATGTATGTATGTACCATCAATCTCGAACTTACCAACATGTGCTGGTAGTATATTCTCCAATAGGGTATTATTGACTTTAAGCATCGTCTCTGCCTCTTTCTGCTCTTCAGAGAGCTGATTTTGCCATAAATGATCCAATCTATTCCTGTGTTCAGTTACTCTGTCAATCCAGTACAATGTGACCGTAATAAAGACCACAGAAAGGGTATGTGATACTCTTGGATCCATACCAACATTCCACGTAGCGTCTTCTTTAAACAGGGCGGTTTTCTGCTCCCAAACGACCCAGAGATAGAACACTGTCATTCCTCCAGCGACTATCCACTTGAAAATGAAGAAGACGCGACTGAAGAGGAAGTTAAGAAGCAATGCTAATCCCCAACATTGTGTGACATGCTGGAAGAAAAAAATTTAAAAAAGCTATACCTTACAAGATGTTATTAAAAACCGATGAAAACAAGACTATTTTGATGATGTTCTTACCCATGAAGATACACAGTTGGACAAAACGGTATCTGAATAATCCACTGCGATTTCCTTGCATGATATAACATTGACTATTGACGTAGCGGCAAGCCCAAAGCTGATCAATAAATATAATGCTGTCCTTATTTTCGCCGACTTAATGATTGCAGCAGAAATGTCATAGATAGCCCGCAAGTATTCATTTCTAGGTTCCTCAAACTGCTTGTATTTTGTCCAAAGGAATTGAAACCAAGTAAGAGGTTGCAAGATAATGAGGCATAGAAGAATAAGTCCAAAGATGAGCCAAGTCCACCACTGAAAACCTTGTAGCCTGGAATTTTTTTATATGGATATCTAATTATTTCGAACAGGGTCGATCAGAGACTTGATTGCATGAGTAGTCTTTAGAGTAGATATTTTCATTTTGACTTTATAATGGAACTTACCCTTGTGTAGTTAATGCGTTTATGAGCAGGATAAGAACAAAGATGACTAAGCAACACAAGATGTAGTATTTAAACAGAGGATCCGGTAAGAGAAGGAACATTTTCTCCATATTCATGTCTTTGTACATTAGGGAGAATCGATTCAATCTTGTCTCTGTCTTGTAGTAGTCTCTGAAATTGAAAACAATTATTAAAATGGTGGTATAAGCTTAACACATAATTTCCTGAATCAAAATATTTTAAGCTTGAACCCGGGACACAGCGGCTACCTACCAACCCACATTACATTTGATGGTACCCCATGTGTCAAGCCCCGGTCGACCCTACCAGTTTTTGAACTACTTATTTTCATTTATGGGAATAAATAATTATTTATCATACTAATACATTCACATTCATCTTATTCAGAAAATGAAATACCTAAAACTTACTTTCCTTTAGACATGTCATCAATTTCTTTGGCCATCTGTGCATCAGCAGCCTTCAACATCTGCTGATATTCCACTAGATTTTCATCCATGAAAGTAGTGGTTCGTCGAAAGTTAGTTGAATTCCTACTGTCCGATCGCTACTGAAAATAGGTTGTGTTTTTAGTGTGGTACTCCCTTCTAGCTGGACCACCATTTAGTACTCACTTTTATATATTTCATTGTTAGTGGCTATGTCTTAAGAAAATGGATATCTGTCTTCTTAGAGTTGCCTTCTTACTGAATTATTATTTATGTATCAAGTATCAAAACCCTTTTTATATAAGTAGGTACCTACAAAGTTTCAATATAAATACTTTAACATTAGGTACATTTTCTTGTCCTAATAGTGCTACTTACTTTAGAACTTTTCTTCAGAATCATTTTGTTCAAACCCACAGACGCTCGTCTAAATGGTTTGTATTCGACGGGTGCCTAGAAGAATGTTCAGCTAGCATTAATCAATTATCTATAAAACTAAATTGCCATCAACATTACCACAGTAGAACAATCCGAGACTATTTCTTTTATCTTGGTTTTGATCCTATTTTAATTCTAACAAATAGAATGGGTAACATAAACAAGTATTTTGTAGGTAATAGGTATATATGTTACGGGCATTTTGATAAGTCCGGGCACTATTAATAGTGACCGGTCAGTATTAATAATGCCCGACCTAATTGGACAATGTGATTAAAACAGCATGATTAATTACTTTTCCCGGTCAGTATGATTAATTCCCACCCTACCTTGGGCAAAGTAATAAAAATAAAGAACTGTAATGTATTTTTTTATTAAATGAAGTTAAAATTACATTATTTCAAAGAAATCTTATCAAAAAACAAAGTATTGAACATAGAAGTTGAATAATAAACAGTTAAAAATGTAATAACATTAGTAGCTATCTACTTTTTGTTGATAAAGTTACTTATGAACAATAGATTAAAAAATTGGTACCTGAGTAAATGTAATTAAACTTACATAATTTTTATGAAAAGCTAATAAAAATAATTAAAACATGAAAGTAAAAAATAAACAGTTAAAAATGTAATAAAGTTGCCTTCTTTTTTATATAAAAATATTACTTAAAAACAACATTTTAAAAATTGGTAAATGAAATTAACCTTACATAATTTTCATTAAAGTTATCAATAAAATTTGAACATGTGTGTTAAAAACAAATAGTTATAAATGTAATAATATCAGTAGCACTATTTTTGATAAAAATATTAGGTACTTCAATAGTTTAAAAATTAGTAGACTAAGAAAAATCAACTGAAATATTTAATAATTAAGGACTGCAAGCTGATTTATTACATGGACCACGGGCACTCGGGCACTATTAATACTGACCGGTCCAAGTGATTAATTAATCACTTTGCCCTACGTTTTTGGGCACTATTAATAATGACCGGTCAGTATTAATAGTGCCCGATAAATCACGTTGCCCGTAACATATATAGGTATCAGAAATAGGATAAGTGCGTCAAATACTCAGATATTTCATTTGTCATATTTATAGTAAGTAAGTAGTAAGCACAGTTCTCGTGCAAAATTGCGATCATATAAGGCATACTGCGATTTTTGTTTTCACGCGATGTTTACGAGATTTTTATTTTGTTTATGATGATAATACGTGATATTTTTTACGTCAGAGCGGCAACTTGCATAAGATTAATAATGATACAAAAAAACGATAATTATTATTAACCGGGCCTTAATAGATACAAGCAAGTTGTAAGTACGAGGAATTTCTTTGAAAAATATGTATTTTATGTCTGCTGTGGTAGTGTCTATGCCATTTCTGTTATAGTAACATTATTTTCGTTTAACATAATTAAACATTGAATTACCCTTTTCGGCCTGGTGAGCAGGTACGTTTCTATTTTATGCTTCATAAAAAACGCGTCGTTTTGAGATTCGAAATTAGGCTCAATTATGTATTCCCTTGCGTAATCTAATAGGAGCTCCAAAGTCTGCTGTGTTACGTGAACCTTTCTGGAAAATAACATACCTATACTTAATATTTTCAGTGCCCCAAATTTTTATTCCCTCAATGGCGTTCAAAGCAAGCCTTCATTCATCTAAGATAAGTATAGTATTTTATTTAATTTAGAACTCTATAGATTTGTAATAACTACAAGTAACTTTTCATGTAGCTTTTAGAAGAGAAATGAAAGGTTTTTTATTTCTTTTCATTAATTTTGGCTGCGTTCTCACTTTTATTAGTCTGAACTCGATATCTAAAATATATTTTTGAACCATAAAATACAAATTTTATTTATACCTAATATTAATTATATCTATTGAAATAACTTACCCAGCCTTGCCAGACGACTCCATTTTATTAGCTATGGTGACATCCTTAGACCAGATATCAAACTGCCATTTCCTGATGCCGATCAGCCCACTCAAGATCTTGCCCGAATGTACTCCTATCCTCATGTCTATATCCAAAGACCTTTTATCTCTGAAAATTTAAAATCGTTTCTATTTAATCGTGGTTATAAAATAGATCGTTAGAGGGAAAATATTCTGATCTCAACAAGCCGTTCACCAGACATTGCAGCTGGAATCAAAGACGAAACAGAGGGATGTGTGAGAGACTTCCACTGCAAATAAATTAACGTCAAGACACAACCTTCCATAGATTTGGAAGACTTCGGTTAGGTGTCAAAAATAAAAGAACAGATTTCTGAAGTTCTGTTGTAAGTAACGATATATAAGGTCCTATTAAATTCACTGCAAATATTTTAAGGGCATGCGTAAATATGTATAAAAAAACATCTAAGGCATTTTAAAAGAAATCTACACGCCAGATTTTTTTTTCATTTGCAAACAAACTTTTGAATTAATTATGTGAACATCCTTTGACTGACCCGACTGACGTTCCGCCACGTAGACAAGATTCACTTACACGGCACGCACACTAACAACCAATTAATCACAGCACCTTTTTTTGGCGCGTAATTTAAATTCATCGCAGTGTGTGTTTCTAGGACAAACAGGGTGCACTTTTTTCGTTTTGTTTTTTTTTAGTTAAATGCATTTTTCTCGAAAACTAGCGTGTAGATTTCTTTAAAAATCTGCCTAGTACATGCTTATATTTTATTTGATTTGCCCCTAAAATATTTACAGTGAATTAAATAGGACCTTATATAACATGTAGGCTTTTTATGTACCTGACGTCTTTTATAATTTGGATCATCTCTAGGCCGAGGTCGACGCAGTTCTTTGCGTGTAGTGGATTTGGCTGGGGGACCCCGCTCACACAGTAATAGCAGTCGCCTAAGAACTTGATACGCAGCACATCATGCTCCTGAAACAAATATTATCCAATCTGTAAATAATGGATTAGTCGCTGGGAATTAGTTGCAAAAACTATCCCAGTAGATGGAGCCCTACCACGCGTTTGTGGTCAAGATATACTTGCAAAATTCGCGGGCTTGGAGTGGGCCGCTGTACCTAGATGGTAGAGGCGTCGCCAGTACCGATAATGAAGGTCGCTGGTTCAAATCCAGCCTGCGGTGTAAACATACTTATTACAAGTTTTCCAAAAATTTAATATCTAACTCGGGAAGTGTTTTAAATGTATGTATTTAATATAAAGTGGTCAATGAATGATTCTTGCTGGAAAATCCGGGCCACCAATTTTACGATGGAACTTTCTTTGGGCTCTTAGGGAGACAAACATACCAAAATACCCTACCTCTCCAAGGCTGGGTAAGCAGATGACCAATTCTATGTGCTTCCCCCTAGGCGCCCAGCCTCGTAGATGTGGGCTATTTTAGTATGTTTGTCTTCATGAACCCAAAGTGAAAAGTACCTTCGTAAAATTAGTGGTCCGGATATTCCAGCTAGAATCAATCATTGATTGACCAATCTATTAGGATAGCAGAATTATTATTGTTTCAGTCACATAGGTATAAAATATAGGAAACCGACAACTGCAACCTTCTGCTAATCATAAGTCGTTTGATACCTATTCGGTACACTGTAGGTTGTTGGCAGATCGAATACCAAATTTTTATAACACTTCCTGTGTTAGGTATACAGTTTTTAGAAAACTGGCCAAATTTTGCAAGGCCACGCGATGGAAAAATTTGCAAGTTTTGCTAAATTTGTCAAATCGGTCAGATTCTTGTTTTCGTACATACCTAGTTTACGACAGTTGTAGTAAACACAGTAGAGAATCGGATAGCGCTGTGGTATAGCATATGGTAACTTTTGTACACTGCAGAAGATATCATCACCTAATTTTAAACCAAAAAATCTACTCACCTCGACAAACCTTCCAAATAGTTCATTGAGGAGCTTAGGAGACAGCGTGGTCGATATCTTGGTGTAGTTGACCACGTCTGCATACAAACCGGTGGATACTGACCTCCGAAGCGTTGTCAAATCTGCCAAACAGCTCGTTGAGGAATTCCACCATCCTCGACGGAGACAGCGTGGTCGATATCTTGGTGTAACTGACCACGCCTGCGAACAAAATGGCGGATACTAACCTCCGAAGCCTCGTCAAATCTGCCGAACAGCTCGTTGAGGAGTTCCACCATCCTCAACGGTGACAGAGTCGTCGATATCTTGGTGTAGTTGACCACGTCTGCATATAAGATGCTCACGTTATCATGCTCCTCTACGTAAAGCTGACTGCAAAATAAGAGTAATTTACACAACATTTTTATGTATTTATAATAAGCACAACAAAACAGGCGGACAGACAGCGAATTTTCAGTAATTTCGGTTCCCATTTTTATGGAACCCTAAAAACAACAAATATTTCGTACCGTATATTTGCTAGCTCGTGTATTATGACTGCTCCAGCCCTTAATATTAGCTGTTAATGTAATAATTACACCATAATCATACCCAGGTATTTACTACGAAAAATGATTGTTTTTAGATTTTAATATAACTTAATGTATTTTCGGAGTTCAAATTGCGATGTATATTTTCACAAATCAAATCTATAGATACAATAATATACTCTATAATAACTTAGTTCTATGATAAAATAACGAAGCTTGTTAGTAAATGTAGTTTCTGGACAGAAATATAAATCTTCGAAATGTATTTGTGATTAGATAAATGTTTGCCTTCGATACTAGTTTGTTAGTTCAATCTCTGGTTTATTATTTAGTGTATCTAACATGCACAAAACTTGCCTGAGGCCTCAGCTTTGAATATGTATTTCAATCTATGCATGTAGGTAGATAATCGTTTGCAAATAAATTCACAAATAAATGGAGTGATTTATCATCTCATCAGTATCAGTAAGGATTTCGTATATGTACTGCCAGTACCAATGACGTATTTGATTTAAGATTTAAGTAATAGGTACTAGAGTTAAAAAACCTTTCCTCGCATTGGTACTAAATTCAAATTAATATTTTGAAGCTGCATATTGTACTAGTTTTTCATATAACCGTGTAAAAAAAATCGACATGCTGCTAATATTACTACCAAATATTACATCCTGAAACTTACTTGAACGTTTTCAAATTTTGGTTTAGACTGTGAGACTGTATCCCAAGAATGATGGTTCTGATATCTTGGCGCACTCTCGACACTATGTGCTCAGGAAGTATACTCAACATAAGCCGCTCCTGAAAACGAGGATGTAAAAAACGTGAGTAAACTATCATGAACCTCTTCAAAATTCCGGAAAATATTTATTATCATCATCAGTCTCTGGACTTTCCAATTGGTCACCCCTCAGTACGATCTTCGGTTAGCCTAATCCAGTTTGCTAAGTATCCAGCAAGGATAATCGCAGCACTGCCGTCCAATAAACAAGGAAATAAGAAGGCATACCCAGCTAAGCTTGCATTAGTACCTATTGACAATTTAAAAAAATTGTCAGCCAGAAGAACTTTGAGGCACAACCACCACAAATTAGGGAAACGGCGCGCGGGTGTGCAGCCACACCTCACTGTCTATTTAAATGATGGTTTGGAATTAAGAGTATCTACCGGGAGTAACGGAAAGGGTATAACAAGCCGAAAGGAGGTCAAGGTACTCATGAAACTGAACAACTTTCGAAATATGAAAAATAAATTTGGACCTCCCATAGTAAATCAATTAGCTCATCGGAGATTTTGTATGAGAGGTCCAAATTTATTTTTCCATATTTCAACCCATGTTCCATGGGGAAAGTTGTTCAGTTTCATGAGTACCTTGACCTCCTTTCGGCTTGTTATACCCTTTCTGTTACTCCCTGTATACGGGGTGTAGGGGACAGCCCTCCGAATACTGAAAGGGTGCATTCATACCATGTAACTGAACAACTTCCCATAGAAATAAATTTCAGGAAACGCGAAAAAATTTTTGACTTCCCATAGTAAATGCAATCAGTTGATCGTGATTTTGTATGGGAAGACGAAAATTTTTTTTCGTTTCCTGAAATTTATTTCTATGGGAAGTTGTTCAGTTTCATGGTCTGAATGCACCCTTTCAGTATTCGGAGGGCTGTCCCTTACACCCTGTATACCTACTTACTTCTTGATCCTTAACAAACTTCAACCGTAGCGTGCTCTCAACGCAAGCTCGTCTGTCCAGAAACGATCGTCTCGTCACGATCTCGTTCATCAGTCTGAAGTATATGCCCATCAGGTTCACACCTATCAGGTACACTACGTCTGACGCCACCTGAAAGTCATAATCACCATCATTTCTGCCATGTCCGACAAGCGACCTGCATCCAGCGTATCCCGCTGACTTGACCAGATCGTCTGTCCATATCTGTAGTGTTTCCCCACACAACTTCACACAACAACCAACCAAATTATTAATGGGCGGTTCCAAAAATAACTTTTCGGTCTACATTCCATGGAAAAAAATGTCTATTTCTCTCTCTCTCTCTCGTCGTTTGGGATACCGAGTCGTCCAACGACCCAAAGAACCCTGGTGTCAGAGTTTTGTTTATAGGTGTGATAACAGGAAAATAGTAGCAACATATTAAGGTCATACGAATGATTCAGCATCGGGGTATTACCGTAGGCTATCGGACAAGCACTACACCTTTTTTACTTATCTTAATAATCTTTCTCTCATATCGCAACTGTATTAGTTTCGGCAGTAAGTATGATCGATTATAAATTTAATTAAAAATGTAGTATTGTTTGTGTTTGAATCTATCTTTTTCATTGAAAATTGTGTAGATATTTGAAATAGTGATTAGCACAGATTTTATGTTAGTTGTTGATAATGATGATAATACAAATACGTGCAATAAATACCTACTAATAGTTTTACGAAGAAAATGTTAGCGACACGTTAGCGACACTAGCGCCACTCAGTGAAAAAAATTCACTGACTGAATACGCAAGTGATTGAGAAACCACATTATGAATTACCGACAATAACTAACAACAAAGAATTTTTAGAATCAGTAAAACCTTGGAAAAACTGTGCACTTTAGATATGTAAGCCGAAATTGCTGAAAGTGGCCACTTTTAGCAATTTCGGCTTACATAACTCATGGATACCAATTTTTATACATTGTCGGCAATTCATAAATTGGGCTCCAGATGACCAGCATGTTCAGCCAGGAATTTTTTTCCTGTTTGGGGGCGCCACTAGTCTGACGTTTAGCCTTAAGCCTTATATCTTTTTAATAAATCTATAATTATTCTAATTAACATTGTATAATATCCTAATATCGACGAACATCTTAATTTACTACTTACTAACTTATAATAATTAATAATAGTAAAAGCTTTTACCTAGGTATAGATACCTATGCTTAACGAGTATTGCCAACCATTTCCTCCGGACATTAAAATGCGCTCAATCTAGCCCGCAAGGGTAACAAGTATTTCCTGCGTAGGACTGTGCCCTGTTGTAAAATAGTTGCATTTTCAAAAATGAAGTTGCTTTTTGCTTCTCTGCCTGTCTGTCGCGGTCGTCATTGACACCACTAAGTCTTCCCAAATGGAATAGAATGTACTGTTTTTTATATGGTAATTCAAGAGAAAGATCAAAATTAGACGGAAAAACATTAAGCAGCGGGTGCGATCGCTAGGCTACGCTCTGGTTACGAATAAAAAGAACGATTTCTTACCACAACTACAACATGTGGATCTTCGTCGTACGTGAAGAATGCATAGATATGTATGTAGACCGTGCTGACCAGGACGCCCAGAAAGATGGCCAGGAAGTTGTTCCTCATGGGCAGGAAAATGTACACGGAGATCAGAGACATCGTGGCGTAGGCTGGTCGGAGCTGCAAACCCTCGAACGAGCCGTAAATTGCAATAGCAATGTCTGAAAAAAAGAAACAGGCAAGAGCGTGTGACACACAAATGGGTTTCGTAGACAACGTAACAAGACAAATTGATCAGGTTTTTAACAGTCACAGAGTTAAGTTTGTAGCTGGTTCTTTGCAGTTGCACCTATAGAACCTCTTTTTTTCTTTTTGTTAAAACTTGATAGTAGGTAACAGTTATACTTAGTTTTCATGGTAACTTCAGTGTGAGAAGTATATTCCTATCAATTTCAATGCTAGCATCATATGTATGTATATTAG